CCTCCTTAGTGTGAGCTGCTCCCTAAGACCTTCATCTGCCTATTTCACCATGGAGCAGTCTTAACTCGTTCTTCCTCCCTTACCATGGCACAATTGGTTCTCCTGAAATCTTTGCCTATTGTTCCTCATTCTTCTGCTGGGCACTACTAGAGTAAGTCTATTTTCTCTTCCACAAGTGCCTTTCTAATATCTGAGGATGGCTGACACATCCCTGCTAAGGGCTGTCTTCCTGAAGGCAAGTGTACCTAGTTTCTTATAATCTAAATAATTTCAATTTGCAGGTACAGTATCATACTTCTGTCTTATATTCCCATTACGATTAAGTCTCATTAAAGATTGCTATTATTATCTTTCATCTATAGGTGAGTAAATTGAGGATCAGAGAGGTTAAGTCATTTGCCCAAGGTCGCACAGCTAGTGAGCCAAATTAGAACCCAATTCTATCTGATCTAGGAACTGGAGTCCTTCACTTCCTACCTTACAGGATCACTAATACTACTATTAATAATGGTTGTCATTTATTTAGTGTCAACCACGTGGCAGAGTTTGAAAACATGATCTCTAACTCTTATAACTATCTTGCAAGGTGTGTATAATTTATTATTTTAGTTACCATTTTTTTTCTGAAATGAAGAGCTCAAATCTTATCAGGCTAACTCATGTGCTAGTAACACAGGTGAACAGGTGCAGGGCAGCGATGGCAACTAAGCCTGCTAGCTCTGCAGCCTTCATTTCCCATCTTGCACCCCAGAGCTACCCCAAGAGGCCACAAAAGAGGCCAAGTGACAAAAATATGAACACACTCAGTCATAGCCAGAGATCTTAGGACAGTGTTCCTCAGAACAAGCTCCCTGGACTTCCAGCGTCAGAATCATCCAGGGTCTCTAAAACGCAAACTGTTGGGGCTTACTTTCATTTTGAACAAGCATCCCAAATGGATTTTACTCACGGCCCCCAGCTTGAGAAGCAGTGCTTTAGAGAGAGCATCTGCCATCGAGGGAGGTTCTGAAGTTCCCCTTCTAGAATCAACCCCTTTGCCTTCACTGCCAGCCAAGCTCCCCTTCTTCCTCAAGCCCACCTCAGACCCCTGCTTCAGTGCCTCACTTTTCTCTCCTCCAAGCTCCTAGCACTGCCTATGTCCCCAGTTGCCACCAGTTGTGCCTGGCATAACACTGTTGCCCCTCTTGCATTGCTCTTAGCTTTTGTATTCTTGTCCTTTGCTCATCTGAACAGAAGGGACCACACCTATACTCTTGGGATGCCAGTCAGCAGAGCATATCCCTACTCCTCAGTGGATGTTGAACAGACACAGTTGCCCAGAGTGGAGGCCCAGCCCTGCAGGCTTCCCAGCAAACACTGACACCCTAATATAGTCCTTACCTGGGAGGCCCAAGTCTCCTTTGTCTCCCTTAGCACCAGTTTCCCCTTTGGGGCCAATGAGACCCCCATCGCCTTTGCTGCCCTTCTCTCCTTGAGGTCCTGGGGCGCCTGAGAAGGGAATGGCTGGTGAGGTGGGCTCCCATCATCTTCTTGGAGACAAGCTCCTAGACAATGGGGGCATTCTGAGGAGAAAGAAAAGGGGTCTCCAGAGGAAGTCTGGGAGTGTGTTTCCTCATTTCCTGGTTGATCTGACAAGGTACAGTAAGACTCAAGAGAAGAGGACTATATGAGGATGTTAATGCTCTGGGACGGGGTGGGGGACACTGGGGACAGCTGGCACAGTGCCTGGGTCAATGCATCACTGATCCCAAGCAGAGGAAGCACAAACTACCAGTGGCTCCTTGCATCCCTGGAGCACCCTTGGGTCCTTGGAGGCCTGAAAAGAAGAAAAGAACTCAGTCACTCCATGGCCTCAGCTTTAATCATCTGACATTCTAGAGCTCCTTCTGTGGGCAAGGCATCCCGCAAGAGATTTCTGTCTGTCTGTCTCTCTCTCTTTCTCTCTCTCTCTTTCTCTCTCTCTGTGCCAAGGGCTGAGCAAGAGAGCAGAAGGCTATTCATTTTGTTTGCTTTTCACACACACACACACACGCACATGCACACACACAGAGACAAGGGGAGTATGAGTGTAGGAGTGTATGTGCACATGTGAGCATGTGCACGAGTGTGATAGTGTGTGGGAGAGGGTTGCATAAATGTGTGTGCACACATGTACATGTATGAGCATGTGGGTGTGCAAGTGTCTGTGGGGGTCCTTCACTGTACTATAAACTCTCTTTCTATTGTTTGTCCAGCCCCCGCATTGAAAATCTTCCTGGAAAAACCCCTGCTGAAGACTTAGAACAAGACACTCTTTGGGATCCCTTCTATTAAATTCCTCCTCAAAATTAGTTCCTCCAAAAAGATTTTCCCTGCTACCAAGATTCCTTTCTATAATTGCTGGTGTTTTCTTTCTGCCTCAGTGGCCCAGAGGCTTAGAGACTGTTGGTTTGTTTATTTGCTCCTTCCTTGTAAATCCTTTCATTCTGCTCTTTCTGTAGGCTCACCTTATTGTCCTTAAATTGTTACATCTCAGTAGCCTCAGGCCCAACAGGGATCTGGAGGCTGGAGAGTCTAAGTGGAGAGTGGACTGGACTTTATAGTCATGGGCTCTGACATTTGGGTCTCCCCCCTCCCCTGGGGGTTGCAGCTGAGCTCTCACATTCTCTGCCCTGGCCATGCTGTAGCCATTTGTAAGATGGCTGGGCAGGTTTAGGCTACAGCCTTAAAGAAACAATCATGGGCTTTTCATCATTATTGCTAATTCCCCCAGTGACCCTCTGCAGCATTCTTATTCCCATTTTGTAGACAAAGACACTGAGGTTCAGAAAGGTAAGGGAATGTTACCAAGGTCAAGGTCCATGATGAAGGTAGATGGGTCAGATCCTAAAGTTGCTGCCGCACCCATGAGCTTGACTCTCCCAAGTGATACTCACAGGCTTGGACTCCTGAACCCCAAAGAGTAGATTGGAGCATCCAAACCCCTCTGGTGATGCAGAGTGCTTCCCTGAATCCCCAGCCCATCTAAGGCCTCACTCCAGGCTGGCCTCCCTCACACACAGACATCACTGGGTATTTAGACACTGAAGTGGGCTGTCTGTGTCTGCAGCCATCTGCAGCCTCTCTGAGAAAGCCTGCTATACATGTCAGTACACATACCCAGCCCCCACTTACCTGCCTCTCCCTTGATTCCCGGCAGCCCTTGGTGTCCTGGGGGACCTAGAAAGAAAAGAGAATTCAGAACATAACCCGGAAAAGGAGGAGAAAGAGGATTACAGGGCCAGTAGACAAGAGGTATTAGTGGCTCCACTGTATGTATCCCTTGGTCCCCTTCTCAGCCAGGGATGTCAGGCCCCCTTTGACCTGGAAGACCTGAGGACGAGGAGCAGACACACCAATGAGCCAACCAACAAGGTGGGGTGACAATGCCACTCACTCACACCACTGTTCATTTAACAAACCGTCACTGAATATCAAGGACCATCCAAACTATGTGGAAGGATAAAAAAGAAAAAAAACAGAAAGAAAGAGATAAAGAAAGACAGAGCTCCTTCCTACAAGAAGATCATGGCCTAGCAGGCAAGACACAACTATATAGATGATGTCTTCTGAGATAGACCGAGTCAGACAGACCTACCCCTTTACCTGGGTGACCTTGTGCAAGTCAAATCATTTTGAGCCTTGGCTTCCTTGTCAGCAAAGTGAGATTGATACACTAGTTATTAAGGACTATCCTGAGGTGGCCATGTGGAAAACATGTGGCAGTCTCTAAATAAATGGCATCTATTACTGCTGCCACTCATATGCAGTGATCTACCTTTCCAAGGGCCGCTCTACTGTGCAGACTCGAGTCTCACAATGACTTGTGTGGGCAGGAAAGGGCTCCTTATCCTGTCTCAGTATATGCTGGCTGCTGTAACAAACACTAGACACTGGATGGATTATAAACAATAAAAATTTATTTCTCACAGTTCTGGAGTTTGAAAGTACAAGATCAGGGTGTCAGCATGGTCAGGTTCTGGTGACAGCCCTCTTCCGGGTTGCAGATGGCTGACTTCCTGCTGCACCCTCACATAGGAGAGGGAATTAGGAAGCTCTGTGGGGTCTCTCTCACTCTTTTTTAAAATTTATTTTTAATTAATTTTTTTTGGTGACATTGGTTAACAAAATGCAGTAAGTTTTAGGTGTATAATTTAACAGTAAGGCATATATATATTGCATTTCGTGTTCCCCTCCCATAGTTAGATTTCGTTCTGTCACCACATATTTGGCCCCTTTTATCCCACCTATCCGCCCTCCTCCCCTTCCCTCTGGTAACCGCTAGTCTATTCTCCACATCCATGAGTCTTTGTTTGTTTGTCCTGTTCGTTTGTTGCTTTTAGGTTTATATCCCACATATAAGTGATATCATGTGGTTTTCAACTTTTTCTGTCTGGCTTATTTTGCTTAGCATGATTATCTCGAGGTCCATCCATGTTGTCACAAATGGCAGTATTTCATCTCTTCTTAAGACTGAGTAATATTCCATTGTATATATGTACCACAGCCTCTTTAGCCAATTATCTATCATAGAACACTTTGGTTGCTTCCATGTTCTGGCCACTGTAAATAATGCTGCTATGAACATCAGTGTGTAAATATCTTTTCAAATATGAGTTTTCAAGTCTTTGGGACAAATATCCAGTAGAGTGATTCCTCGATTATATGGTAGGGCATTTCTTAGTATTTTGAGGAACC